TTATCTCCCTGAGCTTGGCCTTCATAATTCCATTCCATCACACCTCTTCAATGGACCCCACACTTAAACTGTGATGAAAACCTGGCTTTCCATTGAGCATTTGGAACCTGTATGGTGTGTTTTTATTAAGTTTAAGTTGTTTTTAACCTTGTACACCGTCCAGAATCACTGCCATGAGATAGGGAGCCCTATAAATAGGATGGATGGATGGATGGATGGATGGATGGATGGACGGACAGACAGAGTTAGTTAGTTAGTTTTTGGTTATGTTTTGACCAGAGGGTATTTTAATCTATGGGTTTTAAGTTATTTGTAATTTTATGTTAGCTGTTGAATTGAGCATATAGATAAATAATACATAAAGTTTATAGGTACCTAAAATCAATAAATCAATCTAGTGACCAATTATACTCAGATGTGCTAATAGATAAAATCAAGAAGTCACGTACTTCAAATCTTGGTCTGAGTGCAGTGATGAAATGCTATGGGAATTGCATAAATAGGATCTGACCTTTTAACATGAGATCTAAGTATACAATACATCACAGATTTACTATCTACGTTGATTTCTATCACATCACAGACAAGCAGAGGAGGAGGGAGGAGGAGAACAGGTTTAATTCAACATTTTGTGTTTTGGAAATAGTCATCTCTGATCTCTGAGAGTTGCTGTGCAGATTAACAAGGCTTGTAATTAATTTTATCTATTGCAGTTGAAGAGCAATTACCTAGCTACCCAAAATGGCCAAATGGGATTGCAGAATCAACTTTTTTTACATATTTTGAAGACAATTCTTCTTTTCATTATTAGCAAGAACTTCTGTTAGAAAAAGAATTCAAAGATTTGTTGCTCAGTCCTTACAAAAAATCTTGAGTTTAAAACCGTTTTGGTTGTTGCTGTTGTTGGAAGCATTCCCAGCTCCTCCTTTTGAAGAAATTAGGCAGTAACCATCTCTTGGTTTTTCCCACTGCAGTTGCATTGCCAATGGCGTCAGATCTGGAGTTGTATGATGTCTCACACAACAGTATGAAAGCAAAGTGGAGTTCAGTCGCAGGTGCAACTGGCTATATGATTCTGTATGCGCCCCTCACTGATGGGTTAGCAGCAGATGAAAAGGAGGTGAGAGAACATGGCATCAACTAGACCTTTTGACCCTTGCTTCAAAGAGTGGCCTGATATTCTTGAAAAGCTGATATTGATATTCTTGAAAGGTGTAGTACTCCCTATTTTCAGCTGAATGATCACCCCCAGAGAGTATTGGCTCCATATCATTTCGGATAGTAATAACAAGTGGAGTGCCACAGGCCTCTGTCCTGGGCCTTCTGTTGTTCAAGATTTTTGTTAACGGCGTGGATGAAGGATTTGAGGGGGACGATGATCAAATTTGTAGATAATCCAAAACTAGGAGGAGTGAGAAGAGAAAGAGAAGATCCAAAAAGATTCAGAAAAGCTTTGGAGTCCTTGGGGTTCTCTGAGCTTTATCGTTTTCTCACAAACGTTTCATTACCCGGCTAGATAACATCTTCAGTGCACTGAAGATGTTACCTAGCTGGGTAATGAAATGTTTGTGAGAAAACAACCAAGCTCAGAGAACCCCAAGGATTCCACCGTTCAACCCATATTCTCTTCTATTGATAGACAAGCTTGAAGAACAGGCCAGAACAAACAGGATGAAATTTAACAGGAGAAATTTAAAGTCCTGCTTCGGGGGAGAAAAAAATAAAAGGCACAAATGTAGGATAGGGTAGACCTGGCTTGACAATAGTACATGTAGAAAGGATCTGGATGTTCCAGTAGATGACACATTGACCATAAGCCAATGGTAAGATGCAGCTGTTAAAAATGCAAGCATTATTTTGGAAGAGTTAACAGGAGGAGAGAATCTAGATCATGGGAAGTCATAACCTTACTCAGCTATTGGGTCTAGAATAACAGTCTAGAAAGAAGTTTAGAGGAAAGCCACCATGTCATGTGAGCTTAAAGGAGCTTGGTATGTTTTGCCTGTAGAACAGGAGACTGAGGGGAGATAAGATAGCAGTTTTCAAAAGTCTAAAGAGTTGTCCTGCAGAGGAGAGAGTAGATTTGTTCCCAGGAAATCAGGACAGAACGAATGGGTTGAAACCACAGGAATTAGATTCAGGTTAGCTATTAGGAGATATTTCCTGATGGTACAAGCAGTCAACCAGTGGAATAGGTTGCCTCATGTACTAGTTCCCCTTTGGAGGTCTTCAGATAGAGGCTGGGTAGCCATCTGCCTGATATGCATTAGTATACCCTGTCCCAAAGAGGTGGGTTGGACTAGATGATTTCTGAGCTCCTTTCAAACTCTGTAAGTTTTAACCCCTTTTTCCTCAACAGCTGCATTCCCTTGTAGTCTTTTAAGAGCCCATTCCACCAATAGAGTGGGTTTGGAGTCATTGGTGGGTGGGACCAATTGCTGTTTTTAACATAGTCCCAGTTATCCATTCAAAGCAGCAGAAATATTGTAACAACGTATGTTTCAGTAATATATATGTATTTGTCTGATTATCCCATTTTAATGTATTAAAATTAATGTTCTTATCAGATTCATTAATGTTTTAAATGACACGATAAATGTCAGAAACATGGGGGGGAATAGCTGGGACAAGAGTTATAAAATGTTTTTTCATTCATTACATTTCCTAAAGATCTTAAGATTATTTTTCTCTGCCCTCATTGTATTTTTAGAATACCCCGTGAGCCAGGTTGGTGTCAGGGACTTCCATGTTTAGCTGTGAAGAGCCTATAGGTACTAAAGTTCAACCTCCATCTTCTTGATGTTTGAATGGAGTATGGGACCCAGGGCAATCCAACCCAACCATCTCATGTAACATAATGAGCAGTTGCCCCAGACAGTGGCTCCTCTCTCATTTTGGAGCACCACCATCTGATGGAGGAGCTTGTCTAGGATTTGGGTTAATGAGTAGTGACATTTGAGGAAGTAACAGTGAGCCAGTTAATTGGAGAGAAGCAGGAGTTGCAACCAGTTGGGGATTGGTAGAGGTGGGGGCCCTCATCTTTGGCTTGTCACTGAAATTAGGTGAGGCTTCGAGATAGTGACAGATCAAAGATCACCCTATGAAGACCACTGCAATTTGTTCTACTCTGAATCTGAGTGTCCCTGTTTGTTTTACATAATTTGTTATGCATTTCTGATAGCTGCCAATAACCTATTAAAATTGGCCTATGTAGATCCTATCCATGGTACTCCATTGAGTTAAAAGCAATCCCACTTCTCTGTCCCCACCCCCACATCATAGGTGGTATTCTGCTAGATACTTGCCCCCCCCTCCCCTTTTCACAACCAAGCAGGCAAAAAAGCCCAGGAAGTTTAACTGACCCAAAGTCAGGAAGCTATTATTTGCTTATGGGCTATATGTTTCTTGGCAGGCTACATTTTATAAAAGGCTGATGCAGACTAAAGGAGGGGCATATGAGCCAATTTTATTTTATTTTTTTTCCTAAAGGTTTTAAAGTTTTTCTTACTTTCTCACTTCTGTGAATATGCCAAGTCCAGGGCATTGATTGTGATTTAAAAAAAAAAAGAATTGTACTATGATTTGTATTCTAAAATGTATTCTGGTGCACATCTCTTCAAACCTAGGCATTTTTGCTTGTAATTTGGCCTAATTTATAGTTTTTGCAAATTATTTTCTCTAATGCATTTTTGTACAATATGTGTATGCGTTTTTGTACTAACAGAGTACAAAACTGAATGTTTTGCCTAATAGGTATTTTTAAAACTGTTATCAAACTCCAGTGCACTATTCTGAGAACTGTAGATTTGGAATGACAACTACATTTTGCTTCAAGCGTGGAATATAATACATTTGCATGCAGAAAATGTGTCCTGCATTCCTAAGTAAAATTAAAATAAGTTTTTCCTAGGGTGCAGTCAGAAATTGTGTTTAGTATGAAGTGGCTAAAAACTCTGCCAGATTAAACAATGTAAACTTGGATCTAGCCTATCTCTTGATTTCTAGTGTGAAATTATATTCATATTTGTTCAAGTAGGAGAATTGTTCATAGCATGAAAAGGCATGTAAGATTCTAGAAGGGGCATCAAGAAGCTACTGAATGTGTAAACGTGTTTATTTTTTGCAAGTTATATAGCATGTATCCCTCACAGAGAATTGGCTGAAATCAGCAAATCTTAGATCCTCAATCAACAGACAGATTTCAAGTAAACCTAGTCCCTGTACTGTTCAATATATTTATAAATGACTTGGATGAGGAGTTAGACAATACTCTGATCAAATTTGCAGATAACACAAAGACAGGATGAATAACAAACACCTTGCAAAAAGGTTTCAAGATTTAGGAGGATCTTGACAAACTTGAACAATGAATGGCTAATACCATAAACAACAGGAGGAATTTCAACAAGGACAAATTAAAGTCCTGCATCTGAGTGGGAAAAACCAAAGCACAAGTTTAGGATGTTAAGAAGACCAAACTATGAAAAGAATCTGGATGTCTTGGCTGAATATGAACCAAGTGTGATGCAGCTGCAAAAAATAAATAGAATAAAAATTTTCCTAAAGCAGTTGAATGCTTGTTCTTTATTTGGTAGAGTGAGAAAAGAATCTTGAACTTCTAGAGGAAATCATGGAGTTGTTAGATTTATATTTTACCTTTCCTCCAGGAGTTCAAAATTTAATAAAGGCTTTTTCAATTTCATTCTGATAACAGCAAACTTTAAAAATAGGTGTGGATGGGAGATAGTAACTGGACCAAAATCACTCAGTGAAACTCTACGACAGGCGGTAGGCTTGAACATGGACCTCCATGCTGAGTGGAGATATCTAGTTCTACTCTAACCAACACTCTTCCATATTCCAATCTGTGGAATAACCCTCCCCTGATTCTACTTTGTAAAGCAAATTGTCTGGTAGAATTTCAAGTCACAAGTTGTGTAGACTGTGTATCAATCACTGAATGACTCCTGCCCCACAGTTCACTGCCTTAAATTATTCTGCCAAAATGAGGAAAGCTTAGGATGATCAAGAGAAGATTTTTCTGTAATTTGTCCCTTTTTGTGATTTCAAAAGCAATAGGCTTTTTATTATTCTCTGTCTTTTTCTGTTAAACACAAATGTTATAAACATTGGTTGCCAGGAGTTCAAGATCTTAGAATTTGTCTATATTGGCATATTTTGGAAATAATAAAACAACTTCAGAAATGCTGATAACTTTAGGGCAGCTATTTTGTCCAAAACAGGTAGATTAAGTAATGATCATTTTCTAAATTGTTTTTATTTGTTTTCAGCAATGGATTGTAATTTAGTACACCTAGTTTACTATGAATTTTTGTAATATTAATTTCTAGGCATCTTATTGACTTCTGACCAGTTTTGATGTTGTATTCCTTCTTAATTTCATTCTGGATCTTAGAGCCTATATTTATGACAAATACCTCTGTGTTTTTATAGTTCATTTTCAATCCTGTTAGTTTTCAAAAGTTGCTAATTTCTTGAATTAAAATTGGCAGCTCTTTTGTTGGTTTAGATAAAAAGAGTGCAAATCATTGGCATTTGCATTTACTTCCTGTTCATGTAAGAATCTACTGACTTGCAACTGTGTGTTATTTTGGATTTTCCATAATAGAAGCTCTACAGATAACATGTATAGTAAGGGCGATAAAGATCAACCTGGTGTTTTCCCTTGATAGATCTGGAACTTTTCTGAGTCAAAATTATTAATAGTAATTAATAATACTAAAAGTAGCATTTACAGTATTATATCATTTAAGGATAGCTGAGCAAAAGTTATAGGGAAAGTATTTATATGAAAGTACAAAGGGACTTGTTTAATTCTGGCAATCACAATTCTACAATTCTGCCTTTTGTGCTAGGCTTCAGTTGGTGGTTTTCTGTGTTCTAGGAGTTCCCACAAATTGGACAGCGGCCCGTCAACCCATTATGGAATAATTTATGCAAGTGATCCTCAGGCAGGGCAAAGTGGTGTGAATCAATCCCTTGTTAATATCACAACCCCCATTTTTCTTACTTTGACATACATTATTCTCTCTCCTGAAAATGTTCTCCACCTTCTACTCACATATGCCATTATTTCATCCATTTTTTTTTTAATGAACTCACATTTTTGTAGATGAAAATTGGAGTGAGCTCAACACATGTTGAACTTGAGGGTCTGCTGCCCAACACAGAATACACAGTCACGGTTTATGCATTGTTTGGAGAAGAAGCCAGCGATCCTCTTACAGGACAAGAAACAACATGTAAGTGGTTTTTATGTCTTTCTACATGCCCCAGGAGTAAATTCTGGAAAGGCTTTCTGAGACTGAAAAATAATGACTTTAAACTTCAGTAGAATACTAATCCCTAGAGGCACTGTTTAGGAAGCAATGTGAAGAGCAACGGTGTCTCCTTCAGTAAGGTGCTCATGACTTTCTTCAATGACTTGTTGATATCTGGTTATTACCACGTACAGAAAATGACTTCTGTAGAACTATTCTTGCTTAAAGTTTTAAGATATCAACAGCAGGTTTTTAAGTTTTCTGAAGTTTACTTTTCTGTAGAACATCTTCTTTGTTTCCCATCTAAAATAGATGTGAGATAACATCTATTTTAACCCCACTGAATTTTAATTGTAGCTTATTTTTACATCCCAGTGTTTAATGTTTTAAAATGTAATGTTAGTTTCCATAACCGGGTACCTTCAAGAGTTGTTAGATTCCAGATTCTAGAATTCTCAGATGACTGACAGGGAATTCTGGGAGGTGAAGTCTAACACACGGCAGGGAAGATTCTTCTGAAATATGTATATTCACTACTCACACAACTCATGCTCCTCTAGGGGTCAATTCCACTGGAAAAAAACGTTGTAGTGCCTCTTCAGTGGTTATTCTTTGGCTATAATACTATGAAGGGATCCAAAGTTTCCATTTTAAAATAGTTCATAGTCCAGGCATACAACATGTGTTCAAGTGTCAGTAGCAAGATCACCTTTAAAAAAAATAACTTAGAACAGCTTTGGGAAATTGTGCTTGAGATATTTAAGTTTTTCCATATTGGCTTTTTTTTTTTTTTAACTTCAAATTTTCAGGCACTCGCTTTCCCCACCCCCCCCAATGCATATTGTGAGATCTTAGAGGCGTATTTGTCTTGTAAAGAGCTGAATGTATCAATCTAATAGAAGCCAAGCTCTAGTCCAGGAACAGAAAACTAAATTGATGCCGGCAGCATGAAGCTGGCAGACAGATTTTGCATTCATAGACGTATTTACCTCTGTCCCTGAAATGTTTTGTGATGTCTGGGATAGGAGAGTTTACCTTTTAATGTTTATTAATGTAATTTGGGATGTTGCATTGGCCACCAAGTTGATCTACACAGAGGCAAAGATATTGTTAGTGTGTACCACTGGAGAAGGGGGCTTGACTTTGAATGGCTTTCAGCCTCCTGAAAAAAAGAAGTATGTGCAGGAACTGAGCCTCCCCCCCCCCCTTGCTATTTCTTGGAAAGAGGGAGATGGGGAAATTTGGAAGGGGCTCGAGATAATCCAGTGTAGGGACAAATTGGGGGTGGAGAAGAAGGCGTTAGGATATAGAATAGTTCCAAGTGGAGTTCTTGAAATATGTAAGAAGTTTTCATTGTTCCTGAGTGTGTGTATGTATCTCAGCTTTTCCCAAGCCACGTCTTTCTAGATGCATTAGACTGTAGTTCTTAGAATTCCCCACCAGTAGCACCAGTGGCCTAGAATTCTGAAAGTTGGAGACCAACACATCTGGAAGATACTTGGATGCCAAAAGCAGATACACTGCAACCATACAACACAGAGTAAAAAAAGAAAATCTAATATTTGCACAATCTCATATTTCAGAAATTCTGTTTGCACAAAAACAAAAACATTCAACTTCCACTATAAGAACATTGTAGGAGATGACTTCTAGCATTGGAATGATGATTTATTTCCAATGGATTCCGCTGGGCCTAATTCATCCTAATTTCAACGAGTTCGCTGTAAAGGGACTTCTGTTTTCTTTTAAAGCTGCCTGGCTCCATATTTAGGAAGAGGTACCATATAACTGTATAACCCAAGCCATACATGTGACAAAATCCCGTCGGTATACATACAGTGTGAATTTCGTAGGGAGAGGCCTTTGCACTGAACATGACCAGGGACTCAGATTTTTGGATTACGCATGGCCTCTTGGTGTCCTTATATATATTTGAAGGCCACCTCCTTGACAAAAACATCAGTTGCAAAGGGTATCAGACACAGAACGTGCATGGAGATTTATGTTATCCAGAAGCAATGTATCAGAATAGGCCAGCGGACAGAAAACAAAGATATTATTTATAATATGGATTCATTTCCATTTTCAAGTGCCTTTAAGTCCACCACGAAATTTGAAGTTTTCGAATGTGGATCACAGCTCAGCTAAAATATCATGGGATCCTGCTTCCCAAAAGGTCAAAGGCTATCGCATTATGTACGTTAAGACAGATGGGACCGAAACCAATGAGGTAAGTAGATTTTTAAAAGAATAAACGTAAAGAACTTAAAAACAGATTTATTATGAGAAACCTATATTTTATTTGCCATCTGCCAATAACTGATACAATGGCAGTAAGATTAACTTCTCTATGGGTGAGAACAGTTTTCAAAATGTGGCACACAGGTCCATCTCAAAGGATTGAGAAATTGTTTGTAGCTTCCTCTACAAAGAAATTCGAAGTCCCTATGTCGATGCATTGCTTTTGTTATATTTTGCGTAGAGATCATTTAAAAAAAAAAATCCCTTCATTCTTTAATTATTCAAGCCATTCTCTTCCCACCTCCCATCTCTCATATTCTCTTTATCAAGCAGTGGTACCATTAAGCAATTTTCTGCTTTGGAATTAACCATCATGTAGGATGTGAGGTGCTTTCCTTTAAATACTGCTTTGTTTGTTTTATTCAGTGTAAATGGTATAATATGCTAAAAAAAAGAAAAGGTAGTCTTCTTCAAATCAAGCTTGGCTACTGACGTCTACAGGGACATGTCCATGTTGTTTTCTCAACACGTACAGAATTAGTTTGCTGTTGCCTTTGGGGATGGATGGATGGATGGATGGATGGACGGACGGACGGACGGACGGACAGACAGACATAGATAGACATCCCTTGGGTACCCTAATGGTCTCCCTGGCTCAGTTTTCCAAAATAGCTAAGGTTGCCATTTAACCTTAAAATGTAGTGAGTTGGGTCTGCTCATTGGGGTGCCAGACTGGAGAATGGAAATACTCCACAGACTCTTTCTAGTGCCTGTTCGCTTACAAAAATTGCAAAAGCCACGGGGCATTCCCAAGGCGGTCCTCGCTGGTATCAATTCTGAGAATGCTCCATCTGTGCAAACCACTTTTCCTCTTCATCCCAAACTGATATAAAACTACATCTTTTTCAATAAGTATTTTTTATAAGTCTTGGCACACATCCCTCCCTTCCCTGCTTGTCTGGCTCTCCTTGTCCTGGCAAGAAATTGGTTGAAGCTTTCCAGAATTTCAACATGACATGGCTTGTAAAGAATCTTTGTTGCTAGAACAGGATGGAACAGGCTTGCTGCCCCTGTTTTAGACCCTTGTGGGTTTAAACGTGATGCCTTTTCCTCTGGCCCTTAACAAAAGGCCCGCTTCATGCTTCCCGTGCTTTGTACTAGGTATCAGTTGCTTATTGGCCTTTTCAGCATTCCTGTCCTGGGAAATTCTAGCTCTCAACCTCTCTCCTCCTCCAGTAAGAGAAGCAGCTGGCTGTCCCAGCCTATGTGATGCAGGAAATCTAACTAGAGAGTCTAGGATAGCAGGCTTGGGGCCATGTGGACCAGAGGAACAAGATCTCCATCTGGCCTGTCCAGAACATTATACATATTTCAGGGTTTTCACCCTAGAGAAACAACCAATGTATATTTTTTCTAGAGCGCATCTTACTTGCTGCCACTTTTTCCTCCCAACAACTGAAGCTGAAAGGTAGGATGGCCCTTTTTAAAGAAAGCTGAGGAACAGCTGCGTTTTTATTAAAAAAGGGCTATCCTACCTTTCAGCTTCAGCTGATGGGAGGAAAAAGTGGCAGCAAGTAAGATGGAGGAACAGCTGCTTGGCTCATAAAGAGATATATTGCTTTGTGGCATTTTTAAAACAAAACAAAAATAACAAACGTATGTCCTGGGACTTCTTTCCCAGTTCATCAAGCAAACTGATGGCGTGTGACATAATGGTTAACGGGGTCAAGGGTAGCTCTATCATGCTGATAACATCACCCACTCAATTAACCTTAGAGCTAATCCACACTTCCTGCTTACCCTGGTGGAGGATGAGCCACCCATCAGTTTGGGAGGACAGGAATGGATGGTGTCATCCTTAGACCATCCCATGGCTGCTGGGAAGGTGACCTCCATTTGAGTTTCATCAGAAATAGTGTCTTTCCTTCTCTGCTAACACAAACAGGGCACTCCAGTCCACATGTGGCACTTCATTCCTTCTTACACAAATGCCTCCATTCCTGTTAGCTGGTGTGTGCACTGAAGGGGCACGTCCACCCATCCCTGTTCTCTGCCTTCAGTGGCCATCTCATATGGAGCTGCTGTGAAAGATGGGAACTTCAATTTTTTTTTTTCAGGTTTAGTTATGGAATGGTGAAATGTTCAGCAGAGCCATTTCTTTGTTTTTATTTTTTTCTTTTAACTGGATGAAATTGACAAGTTCTGCCACGTTTCCCCTTCTAGCAGTGGTGTTCATTAGGGTGTCAACGTCTGCAGGATGGTGGGTGTGGTGTCACGATCCAAGCCCTATCCATTTTGTATATGCTTTGATGCATGTACAAAAGGGGCTGGGCAGATGGTTGACACCCCCTGCAGACACCCCTGCTTTGTCGTACAAGATGCTGGAAGAACTGTAATATTTGGGGTTTTAACAGGTTCAGCAGAGGAACCTATTTTTTGAAATTGGGTGAAATGGATAAAAATTCTGCCACGTTTCCTCTTACAGGAAAGCAACACAATCACCAGGGGTAGTGGTGAAAAGTGGCAGAATGGGGGTAGGGGTGGGTTTGTTTATTTATTTATTCAATTTGTATGACTGCCCATCTCAAACATAAGACTCCAGGTGGCTAACAGAGAATAAAAATAAGATGAAAATATAGCAAAACAGACATCTGGGCTTGCCCTCCAGATGTCCCCCTTTATCTGTGATGATGGTGATTCCAGTTGCACTTTTAAGGAGAGAGGAAGAGAAACTTCTCCCTGATGGAGCAAAAACCTTTTGTGATACCTAGGAGGACCTAAAAAACTGCTACTTTGCAGCGGACCAAGTGATTTGTAATTGTATGTGCCAGACTGTGAAGATTAATCAATTGCCTGGGGCAGTAGACAACTTGGCCACTAAGGTTTTACAAACGTGGCCAAAAAGGAGCAGGAATTTTTAGGCAAGTACCCCAGGCCCTACCCTTGGACAGCCTCTCATGCAAAGCATGGTTTGGTATGGAAATGATCAGATTTCAACACATTTTATTCAAAGCTGTCAAACTGTGTTAAGGTCTCCCGTTACTGCCATGTTTTGAGCTTCCTTGTAGGCTTCTGTCTACTGACTTCAATAAATAAAAGTTTTACTTTGACACAGGGAAGGATGAAAGAAAGTAGGGGTGGGGTAGGATTTGAATGACACTCTGCTTCCAACCATCCCTGGATGAGGAGTCTGTCAGCACGGGCCCCCTTTTCTCTCCCCCTCCTTTCCGTTTAGCTAAAGGGGAGCAAACAGGTTGTTCCTTTCGGTAAGGTGGGGCATTTGCCAAGACACTGATTGATGCAGCCTGGGGTCTAATCTGGGATTCCTTTTTCAGTTGTGAAGACATCTCTGGCTGAAGAATTAGACCAAGCCTCTCTTTTGCATCCTGATATAGATATGGATTTGTGACCTCTTTTCTAATTCCTGTTGGTTCTATGATGCAGGAAGAAGTTGGTCGAGTGTCAGCACATACTTTGAAGAGCTTGACATCTCTTACTGAATATACTGTAGCTGTTTTCTCCCTCTATAGTGAGGGTCAGTCTGAGCCACTCACAGGCAGCTTTACCACAAGTAAGTCTCACTGCGTTTTTGAAAGCAGTCTAGCTGTACTCCCAATATGCCTGTACTCTTCTTGAAAAGAACAATCTGCCACTTTGATTTTATTTATATTTTCTTAAGAAAAGGAGATTATAGCCCCCATTCTGTACACTTGACAGCTTGGAAACTTTACATTATTTAAAACAAATGCAAACGAAAACATGGTCTAATATTTTGGTTCAAGTTGGGTTGCTACAGGAAGAAAGAGAAATTTAAATACAGGACACTTGAAGTCAAGTTATGTTTTGCCAGTTCTCTGTAGATGCAGCCAAGAACTCACAAGGGCTTCAAGTAGACATTACTTTCTGATTGCATAGGCTTTTTTTTAATAGAAAAATTGCAAACATAATTTGGTTACTCATTAGAACTTTCAAGCATCTCAAGGAAGAAATAAAGAAACCAAACAATAAAATTTTGTCATCCTCTGCTGTATTTCTTTCTAATTTCAGAAAAAAGGCAGAATGCAAACATCTTATTCTAACAAAAAAGAATATATGTAGTTCAAGGTTGAACTGTGGAGTTCTTAGTGCTCTTAGTGTTCATTGTTTGCTTGTAGACATTTCATCACCCAACTAGAACTCACAGGTATCTTAATTATTAAAAATGCAGAACATGTATATAATGCCCCCCAAAACTCATAGACCCTAGCTGCTGCATAATCCTTAGACAGGAATTAGCAATTTTTATTAACACACAAACTACCATTTTTGTGACTGGGGTCACTCTAGGTATAAAGATGACTTCAAAATCAGTGGGATCACTGAAAACTAAAAAAGCCCCACTTTTTTCTAAAAACCAATTAGTCTTCCCCAAAATATTAAAATATTAAAAAAACAAATATGTTACAAATAATACAAGATAGAACATGGCTTTTGAAATTCCACCACATTTATCAGCAATGGCCATGGGAGGCATCTATATTTTCTTCTGTGTAATGAAGTAACTTATTGTGTTCGTTTGTGTAGGCATGTTTCTGCTCTCCCCTTGTGTTCTGTCGGTCTGTGTATATGTATCTGTACATGGGGAACCATGGCGTAGACTGAATGTGGATCATGTGACCAGGAGAGAAATGGGCTTTGCATGGAGCAGTTAGCAATGTTTTGTCACTCCCTGTCATGATGCACTGGGGAATTTATTTTCCTTTCCAACCCCTAACTAGATCACACTGATTTTTGAACTTGATCTTTCTTTTGTCAGCTTCTCCCCACATACCAAATTTGGTCCCATTCTGTAGAGACTATCCTGTCGATGGATAGGCAGACTTAATCCCAACTACCTATCCATAATGTTCCTTACACTTATAAAAAACTCTCTGGGACTTTCTGGAATAGGATGGAGTCTGAGTTAAAAGTTTGCAGAGGATGTTACAAATCCATTAAAACTATACCCCTTCCCTTGTCTGCTTTTCCAGCTGAAACTCCATGAAGTTAGAATTCTTTACACAGATGGCAGGAACTCTTGTAATTGCAGAAGATGGCTCAGAATCTAACTTTCAAAGCTTTTTTCTGTTAACGTTCATTGTTTCATGAACATTGTTTTTAGTACAGAAATATATGCAGTTATAATTGACTGATCAAGTTCAGCTTTTGAAAATTCTGTAGAAAGTGTAGTGTTTCTGCTAATATTACATAGGGTTGGAAGGGACCTCAGTGATCATATGTAGGGAATATGAGACACATTTGGAATCCTTATGTTTTCTCTTTATCTTGCAGAGAAAGTTCCATCACCTCAATTTTTGGAAATCGATGAAGTCTCTACTGATAGTTTAACAGTAAGCTGGAAGCCCCCATCTTTTGATGTAGCTCTTTACCGTCTAGCATGGATTCCATTGGCTGGCGAAGAAGCTGATGAGGTAATAGTTCTTGTCCCTCACATGCTCTTTGTTATAGCAGAGTTGGAGTGCTGGTGACAGACTATATTTTGAGGAGTAGAGTCACAGTGGATGGAATGATGAAATCAGATGAGTACATTTGTGAAAAGCATGGGGCAAGAGCCCAATTTTCCATTTTATTCTCCTTCGGAATAGACTTTCCATTATATTGTATTATATTAACATATTATAAGCCAATTTTATTATATTATACAGTATTATATCCTAATATTATGGTCTTGTGTTTTGCACCTCAAAATGGAAGACAATTGTGTCACTGATTTTAAGCAGTTGAAATGCCAAATTTCAGTGCTGTAGTTAAAGAAGATGCCAAAGGCTGCATTAATAATAATAACAACAATTAAGCCACATACGGCCTAGGGATTTTTGGTCATCCTCTATACTGTTCAAAAATCCACCCGAGTCTGGATCCTTCTGAAGGCAAAGCAGTGCTAAGAGAAATTCTTTGAGGAAAATGCCTCAAGGAATATTTGCACAAGTACAAATTAGGGAGTCAATAATTAAAGGAACTATATGAAGAATAAGCATGCTTAGCGGATATTCAATACAGATCAACTACTTCATCAAGAGACATGAAAAATATTTATCAGTGTTTTTGGAATGTGGAAAATGATTTAGATATTCCTTGGCATGTTTCACAAGATGTAATTCACCTTTCAGTCTTCTAAATCTCCTGTTCTGTCTGTCTAAGATCATCTTAAGTGGAGAAGTGGACACCTATGAGATTGAAGGCTTGCTACCCAATATGGAGTATGAGGTGTCATTGGTGGCCCTCTTTGATGACGAAAGTGAAAGTGATGTCGTTGCTGTACTTGGGAGCACACGTAAGATGGGAAATACGATACTTATCCTCCATATATACTTCCCAAGTTAATTTTTAGAAAAGGCAAAGTCCAGAAGTACCTGGAACTTCCGTCTTCTTACCTGGAGTCCTGTGTTCCTATTCCCTAATGTACAGGGACAGTATCTTGCACTCATTTGATAACTGAAATGCAGTCTGCATCTTCTGAAGGGGTGTTTCATCTGCTCCTGCTGTGTGTATTCCAGGGTGAATCTAGACATTTAGAACAGATCTAAGTTGAAATTTGATAATCTTGGAAACTACTCGACTCTCCCCTCCCAATATAGAGTAATATTGGTGTAGCTCCATCCAGAATTCTTTCTTTTGAATCTCTGCCAGTTAATTCAGATTCTCCTTTAATTTCAGTTCAAACTGACTTTATCTTCTCCAGCCACGATGTTCTGCATCAGAGTGCCATGTAGATAAACATATACAAGAAACATATGGGAGTGGTTGCCAGAATGGAATTCTGTAATATGCTTGTTACGTTGTTGTTCTTTTCCAGTGGAAATACTGACTACTGAATTAACTACCATAACCACAACAAGTACCACTACTACTCAGCCTACAACAGCAGGTATAAAATATATTAAAAAAGTAAAAGCATGCATAGTTCAAGAGGTGGTTTAGTTAACATTACTCAGAGCAAAGATGCGTATTTAGAATGATTGCGGTTAGAATTGGAGATGTTATAAAATAGTTATTGTAGTATCTGGAGTGGGGAAGAAATGTGGGTCCCTTTGATATCCAGATTGGGTGCTTCAAAAGATTTAAAACTGTTTGAAATGTTTAATGTTCTTGTAGTCTTTCGGACAGGAATAAAAAATCTCATGGTTGAAGATGAAACTACCTCAAGTTTGAGAGTGAAATGGGACATTACGGACCTCGGAGTTTCCCAGTTCAGGGTGACCTACCTGATGGCTGATGGTGGTCGTGGGGAGGAAACGGTAAGGATGATTGGTGTGAAGTTTTTGAAAGCTCAGCTTGGACTCTGAAAGAATTGTTCATAACAAGGACACAAAGGGAACATTCTTCAGTTAATAAGTATCAGTCGCCCACATAATGTAGGCCTCATTCTGCTAGTGTTGTTTATTTATCTACACAAAATGATATGTCCCATCTATGTCCAATGCGTTTTGCAATTTCTTGCTTGCTATTTAAAATCAATAGGAAGGAAGACAATAAAGAAAACGGGGACTAAGTGCCAAACTAAATTTGAAAAATAAATTAAATAAATAAATTGAAAGGATTTACCTTTCAGAGCAGAAATGTTGTTTTGGCAAATATTAAAGGGTTGGCATAAAAAGTTAAGGAAGACGTTTTCTCTGCTAGATTCCTAATGGAGGATGGGGGGTGTTCTGGACACAAGGTTCAACAAAACCCCTTTTTCTTCTTGCAAACAGGAGGTGTGGGATTCTCAGTTCAAATGGAGAGCGTGGTGGGTGAACACCATCAGAGAACTGAACCAGTTTTCATCCCCATCGTGGTTCTCTTTGAAAGAAAAATCTGGCCCTTGAGGTCTCAGGCAATGGCTGCCAGTAATGAATGTGACTATGTAACTTTATGCCTGCTAATTCTGGGTTGTTTCGGGGTGAGAATTCATGGGTTAAGCCCCAAACCCAGGGCCTTAAGAAGAGATTTGAAAGAAGAGGGATATGTTCTGAAGTAGGGGCAGCAAGGGTAGATGAGGAAGAATATTAGTGGCTCAGAGGAGAAATCATTAAGAAAGAAGAGTCTTGACTGCTTTCATCTGTTGATTTAATACTTGTACTTTGCAAATGATTGCTATCCACCTTGAGAATCTTTCTGATGGAGACATGAAATAAATAGATGAAAGAGTTTCAAGCAGCTGGGCATGAGAAAGCTGGAAGGAAATTACAGTGAGAAACAAGGACTGAAAGATTTACAGATATTATGGACCCATAAAATGATTTGAATTCTGGCCAAGCTGTTGACTCAGTCTGTTCAGCCCACAGTGTCTGTCTTACAGCAGCTTCACTGGCCACCACTGATTTTCTGGGCACAATTCAAAAAGGTTTACCTATGTAAAGCCCTCATACAACTACCTGAAAGAGGCATTGTCTCATTAGAACCTGCCCAGTTTTACAATCTGTGAGAGAGGCCTTTTTCTCAGCGCCACCCCCATTATTTGACGCAAACAAGAAAAATTGAATATTCTTGGTGGCTGTTCTGAATCTTTGGATTTCTGTGCCATAGGAGACAGATTAAAGTCAAGTCAAATCTCCTTCAGGGTTAAGCTTGATTCCTGATAATCTCCTGGATGTAACAAATATAGTTTTCTTGGCAACAGTATGAAAATGGTTTACCATTGCCTTTTTCTAGGATTTTTTTAAAACTTCCCAATCTAGTCTATTTCGCCTGGAAGTTTCCCATCCAAGTGCTAATCAGCCCCAACCCTGCTTCACTTACTTGCAAACCCAGCCTGGTGCTACAACTGCTGAGAAGTCAAGACAACCCAACTCCTTTTATATTAACCTCCCATCTGCTGGTGACTATGTTTTGTTCAGAAAGAACCTGATGCAACTATTTTGCCTTCTGATGTGGGTTTTAACTGGTTGAGTGTGTTTTTAATGAACTTGCATGTTTGGTAACTGGTTTTGTCTGTAGTAATAGTAACCTCTTTCAGCTTAATTCTTAGCTTTATAGGTAGGAAGTATGTTCGATAAATAAATGACTTAAAGGGTCATTGCTTAAAGAGAAGTGAATTTTGCTCTGAATATCAGGGTAATTTCGTAGCTTAGCTTCGTTGCAGTCTGTAGACTGTTCAGTCCTTTTTTCCCCTCGGCATAATTACTTGTGAATTGGGGAGGGGTGTCTTATGTTCATGGGTCAGAAGATAAGAAACTTTTGGAAACAAAGGGATGGGTAAGATATGCAAATGGTTGTTAACATCTCTGCTGAAAAGCATGGAAAGCTTTGAAAGTTAGACATTTCTTGGGAGTGGCTACTTTCCTGATGAATGTCCACCCATTTTGTAATAGCTAAAGAGGGCTTCCCTAGCTTTTCTCTCCTTCCCTATTCAGTTGTCTCTTTGCCTTCCTTCTCACCATCCAGCTTTCTCTATTTTCCCTTTCCTTCTCTTCCTGCCACAGCTACTTCTTCTACTTTCTCTTTCTCCATCCCTTCTATTTCTTCTTCCATGTTGGGTTTCTGCTGGACAAAGGAAAGGGAGCGTTTTGTGTGTGCGTGCTTATGAGTTTCTTTGTACAGGAGTGGTTTGCATGAGTGTGAGAGGGAATGATTGATATGTGCAACAGGAAATCAATTAGTTTTAAAAATTGGTGTATTTTCTTGAACTGAGTTTGTGTTCTGCATCAGGAATGGGCAATGCTTGACTTCCTTTTTTGCCAGAGCCTCCAGAAGATCCTCTGACTAATATTGCTGGAAATTGAAGATCCAATTTCTAATTTTCCTGAGGAAGCACATGAAAAATAATAGCAGAAATCTTACAGTAAGCTTAACAGATTTTAAAATGTGAAGAACCCCATTCAAGGTCTGCCATCCAAAACATTGGGGAAAAATTAGACCCACCACCCACTATTGGCATAAATTCCCTACCCCACTGTGAGCTTTAGGCTTCCCCAAAGTGTTAACTGCCATATTTAATCACTGGGCACAAAAGTTTGCCACCCGCTCTCTAGATCCAGGTCCAGAATCATCTGCAGCAAAGCAAGAAGTTCACCAGCACCTACGATGATATGGAAAATGCTGGCTGAAGCTTGGCTAGTTGTTGTTGATTTTTAAACCACTGCTTTGAACAATAATAGGGGGGCTAAGCAGGATCATATGTGACTGTGAAAGAAAGAAAGAAAGTTCTGATCAGGATTTTATTGCACGGACTAATTGATATCATTCATGCAAATGGTTGGTAACATGGAATGTGACCACAGTAAAAGCTGCTCAACATCTCTTAGTGGCTAGCCGAGTTTGGCAATATCTAATATCTGGAGTACAGCAGCATATTCTAAAAACCAAAACTTTGTCGTCAGGAACAAAGGCAGGAAGAAGTAGAAAGCTCCGTGTAACAGATAGTTAGAATCTGTCCACATCCACAAATAATCCAGTTCTGCTCTTGACACAGAAAACTGACATGTTTCAGCTGACTTAACAAGAAGGTAACCTGTGCTGGTGGAAACCCTAATTAAATACTGGTTAATAATAAGTCACACTGTACTTGTTTTAAAAATATTTATTTCTAAAGCCAGGAGACACTAGGGATGTGAAAATCAGTATGGTTTCAGTCCATTTTACTTCCGATATCAGTAAGGCAGCCTGGCACTATGCTGGTTCATTGGAAGAAGCCAGGGGAGGGGCGTTACACATACTTTTAATCCTTTGTTTTTTTCATTCTGCAAAACTTGTTTGTGTTTCTTTCTCTCACATACCAAGTTTTTATACCCAGTTATCTCCAATATTGGTTTTAGCTGGAGTTGGCAACCCTAAGTGTCAACTGTGAGGAAGCTGAATCTTGCACAGGATTATGGTCTGTATTTAAACTAGAGCTGTGCAGCAACCGGAATCTAAGTACAGAATATGATTTGGAGTGTACAGGAGCTCACGTACAGCACCTGTTCAAACACCATAAATCAGCTGCATCTTTTTCAGCTACCCTCAACAGTGGTTAGGCCATCCCTGGAAAAAGACAAATTTGGTTTAAGGAGTTCCCAGCAGATGTTTGGTCCTTCTCCCCAAACTTTGTGTTCCATATCTGATCCCCATTTCCTGCAAGACTCAGCTGCCTAAAAAGAACTTAAATTTGCAACTCCAGCAGCAGAAAGGTTGTCTGCCCTTTCATAAAGGTTGGAATGCATTTGTAGATATCGCAAAAACTGGATTCAAAGTTGTCTCTCCACGTTGAAAGAACAAGGTGTTTATTGTTGCAAGGCCTGGGATGTTACATAACATGGAAAGGACATTGCACTGGGAACAACCAACTGGTACAACAGTGTACAGCTGGTTTCCTAGTAATTTCTTCTCTATAAGGAATGCTGGTAATTGTACTACTTGGTATATCTCATCTTCTAGCACCATCACCAAGCTATAATTCCCAGGATTTTTCTGCAGATATTAAATGGTCACCAATACAAATGTGTGATATAGTAAATGCACGAAGAATTGTTTCATATAAGATTTTTTTTAAGAATGCTAAACCTACAAATGGGGAAGAATATAGGCATTGTTGTGTCCGAAAGTCTTCTAGATCTTTGTCTAGATTTTTCTAGATAAACCCTTCGTTATCTGATTTAAATTTGGAAGTCATGGCATATCACATTTGAAAAACACACATGTAACAAAATACACAGATGTATGCATGCACACAAAGTTGTTGTTTTGTCTTTGCACTTGTTTCTGTTTTTTATTACAACCAAGCCTGCAAGACATTATATGATGCAGTTGTAATATTTGTTTTTAATGTTTCTTCCATCCAGGTTACAGTCCCTGCAAGGCAAAACAATTTGCTTCTTCAGCCTTTGCTCCCAGACACTGAATATAAAATTATGGTCACCCCGATCTATTCTGATGGAGAAGGAGTCAGTTTGTCAGCTCCTGGAAAAACTTGTGAGTACAAAGTTGTGAAGGCTCAAATATATGCAATTGCTTGTATGTAATTCAGCTCTTTCTCGGAGATGTTTTGAGAAAAACATAATTTATAATATGCCTTTTCCCCCCTTAGTGCCTCTTTCTCCTCCACAAAATCTGAAGGTCTCTGATGAATGGTACAATCGATTAAGGATTAGCTGGGAAGCCCCTCGATCTCCCACAATGGGGTACAGGATTGTATATAAACCTGTGAATGGTGAGCGCTTAAAATATTCACCTGAGTGCTTTATTTATACTTTGTGTAGCTATCTTAAAACAAAAGTTAAATCAGACATGTCAATGTTTCTTCCTAATTCTCACCAAATTACTCTTATCTACACAGAGGAAAAGATACCAGTATATATTTTCTTCCTGTGGTGGGGATAAAAGCAGCTGGGAGAGGGGATTTTTGTCTGTGTGGAAAAACAGTTGGAAAGGAAAAGAATAACAGTAACCATAATAATATATTAAACTTGCATGCCGCCCAACTCTCAAGGACTCTGAGCAACTCAAAATAATCAAAGACATGACAATAAAATCAATAAAGCATAACAAATAAAGATAAAAGATGGCAAGTGGGGTGAAGCGAGGGGTCTCATTCTCCCACACCAAAGGCCTGGGTGAAGAGCCAGGTCTTCACGGTTCTTCTAAACCAGTGTTGTCGAAACTTGGCCACTTTAAGATGAGTG